TATGTGCCCCTTCCATGATTATAATCATGGAAGGGGCACATATTCCCATTGCTTTATATGAGTGTTGTATATTTCCTTGTTCCAATCATCCCTGTGTTACAACTTTACAGCTCTTCAAATAAATTGTATACTCCTGATATTGTCTTTAAGGGGAATGCATTTGGAAGGCTAAGTCTAAAAATTCCAAAAACAGACTGAGTGGAAAGCACACAGCTTTAATTTTTTCCCCCTATTGTTTAAACATCACTAACATAAACTTGACTTTTATTAGTTTTATCCCACCCTAGCAACTCTAAATAAGATACATGAAGGATTTCCCCTAATCTTATTCTCATAACCATCACTGTGTGAGATAGGTTGGGCTGAAATAAAGAATAAATCAATGTCATACAGAAAGCTCTATGATCAAGTGGGGAGTTGAACTCTGGTCTTCTCTGGTTGCAGTCCAACAATTTAGCCACTACATCACAATACACCTCCGTGAGTCTGTATTCTGTATGGAGCACTTGCATGCATTTCTACATCAGAAATTTGAAAATTTGAAAAGAAGTTGGTTTAACGACTATCATAATGGCCACCCTCCAAAGCTGATTTGTCAAGGGTTGTGTAATACTATTTAGCAAAGGAAGCCAAAAATCTTCAATACAAGAGTCATTTGATTTAATTGAACTGACTGACTGATTAAAAATTGAGTCATTACTCAAGCCAATATTCTGTTCCAATAATATATCAGAATTCCTTATAATTACCAATGTCTATTAATGTGAACTGCATTGGTTCAGAAGAATTGCTCCCTAGTTTATTTGTGGCTTTGACCACAACTGTATAAATAGTTTCAAAGTCCAGCTTTTTCCTGAGATCTACTGAGTAATTTGTAGTGCTAATTTTTTCTTCCAAAACTGTTCCATCGGGGATTTCATTTGTTAGCCTGCAACAGAAAGAAAAACTGGGATGAACAGTATGACTTTCTTTCTTTCTTTCTTTCTTTCTTTCTTTCTTTCTTTCTTTCTTTCTTTCTTTCTTTCTTTCCTAAAGAATCCTTACCTAGATTAATTTACACCTATATAACATTGTATGACAGAGACATATATTACCACCTAAATTTTCAGTTCATTAGTAAGGACTTATTTTTTTGCAGATAGCTTGAACCCAGTACTTTTTATTATAATATCCAGTTTAATTGCTTACTCTAATGTTTCAGTTACTCTCATTCAGTTAATTTTACTTACCCTAATATTCAGTTTAATCTTCCCAGTGGTCACTCAAAACTCCAATGTCTGCTCTGAAGCTAATTGCCAAATCCCAAGTATAGAATCATAAACTCAGAAAGATGACAAAATGAAAAATGAAAATCCTGCATAACCTTTTGAAATTTGCATTACATATATCATGCTTTCGATATATAATTATATATTAGTATTGCAAGGGGAAATATGATTGCGTAGCTAGGAAGCAGCTTTTAGCTGATCTGGGCTGATTTCAAAAACCTAAGCAGAATTAGCCCTAGTCAGTAACTGAATAAGAGATGATCAGGAAATTTCAATGTTTTCTTCCTCCTCTTCCTTCTTTCCTCCTCTTCCTCCTTCTCCCTCCTCTTCCTTACAGATTCCTCATATAAAATCAGGAGCTCAACAGGGGAAAAAAAGGCTAGCCATGTTACTTTGCCTTTGCTGGTGAAAAAAACATTGATCTTACTTAGCTTGCATGGAACAAATGCTGTTGTACCAGCACTGTGTTTCGGGATCCTATGACATATGGTTTTCAACAATTCTAGAATCATAGATTTTTGGGTTGAAAAATTGAAAGTTCCCAAGAAAAGTGAGCAAAGAAGCAAGATTCTGTTACAAAATATCCTTTTATAGTTTTGCTAAAGTTAAAGGTAATGGCTCCTTCACGATGAGACTGATTCCAGATGACTTAATGGTCTCACTCAGGTAATGTTCTTGGTTACTATGTACAGTAGAAGTGGTTCACCATTGCCATCTTCTGGTTTTTTAAAAAATATGCATATTTACATTCTAGCCTTCAGATATTTCCTGATGGTGTCCCATCCAAACACTGTAGTTTAGCATTCTGAGATGGATCTTAAAATCACTCAGATTGCCTGTATTTTTAATTCAAGATAGAATATTAGCAAAGCAGACTAAAGAGAAATTCCCTCCCTCCTTTCCCAGAAATCTATTTGATGGAAAGATTAACTGCTTAATTGCTTTATTGAAGACTTATTGTTACGGAGAATGAGTGGGGGAATGCCAGTGATGTGATATTGTTTCATTATTTGAGCTATAGGGAAATGAGACATATCATTCCTTTTATTTTACACCTAGAGTTAACTCTGAAGGACTAAGAATGCTCATTGGATATAGAATGTTCTCTGGGTGTTGGAGAGGTCCCCCCCAAAATTGGGGTGAGTGGGTGGGCAGGTGCACAGAACAGAAGGGTTAGGATCCTGAAGAGGCCAATCAATATACTGGCACCATACCTGGCTTGTTAAATTCTGCCCCCTTACCCATCTATTGGGCAGTCATAGTCTGGAGAGCTTGGATTTAAGTGGTAAAACTATATCGATATGCATGATTAATTTAGTCTTTGTAATTGCATTGCATTTGAATTTATTTTTTTTGTATAACTCGGAAGAAGGCAGATTCAAAATCCGGATGGTGGCAAAATCTCTTTTTCATTGTTCTTTTGGATCTGTATTATGAATCAGGTACCTCAAGCAGCATTACAAGACAGAATTGGCATTTTTATTATATCAAAGCTCTTTCACATGTTCTCCATCCCAGGGATCTTGTGCATCTATGAAGCAACAGTGTTCATGTAATGTAACCTGAGTCTATGATAACAGCCTCTGAGATATTCAATGAAAGGGCCAATAAGGAGAAGTGTGTTATCACAAGCCATGATGCCTGTCTAAAATTGGACACAATTTAGTTCCTGCCAACCATCAAGAAAGTCTTTCGTTGGGAACAGGTGGTTAGAGAAGGGAAGAGGACATAGGGAACTTTTTCCCCTGAACTTTCCTTCTACTCACCAGTTTAAAGTTCCAAGCCATTGTAAGAGACAGCCACAGATAGCAGATGTTAAAGAGGAAGCAACAGTGGTAGCTCCTGGGGATCTGCTTTATTGAAGGACAACTGACCTAACTTGATCCTTAGAACTATCTATTAAGGTGAAGGACGTTATTCCTTCTGCAGAGTTAAGTAAGGTTCAATTAACCATGGATGGAATATGCCATCTTCTCCTTTGCCTCAGGCTGTACAATATTTTGAGTTGCCCTAATAATGGGATCAAGTCCTTTAAAAAAAGGCTTGCAGAGAAAAGATTGATGCCAAGATATTTATGCCCTAAATTCTGACAACCAAGGCCAATATTTTGATCAAAGCTAGCTCAAATTCCACTCTTTCCATCCCAGGTGGTACATAGGAAAATGGAAACGAAGAGTAAGTGATAAGGCAGAATTGGACCGATGTAAACTTAGCTATAAGGGAGACAGAACTTACTGTAATGTATAGGTAGTATACAGATAAGTATAATGTCCTCTGTCCCAAGAACAAATGGTACGTCCATACTTTCCATACTGAGCACAGGATACATTTTTTGGCTGATCTGGAGCAACTTAAAAAAGAAAAGTGGTCAGCAGCTGAGATAGGAAGAGATCACTATTTTGGCTTGAATCTAGGTTGTTTGTACAAACTCTTGTGTAAGAGTTTATATTTGCATTTAAAAACTTCCAGTGTAAATCCCTGCATCAAAACCTGTTTGAGGAAAAGCCTGCCCTGTGTACAGTAAAAATAAATGTATTACACAACGGAAGTAAGACATAATATTACTATTCATCCTATTTTTCCCTCTTTAATTTGGAGTAGATAATATTGTCAAAAAATAGCTCAGTTTTGCAGTGGTTTTCTTATATGGATCTGCCAAGAGGAAGTGAATTTCTGGGCACTGCAACAAAGCAATGGTGGTAACTGCTGGGGAACACGGACATGACCAGCTCAGGCAAAGTCTTGCTGGGAGTCATTGATTTCAAATAGAAAATAAGATACAGCCTTTCACCTTTTCACTTCTATGCTTTAAAAGTATCTGACTAGCTGGATTATACTGAGCGGTGGATGCAAGAAAGGAGAGAGATGAACAAGAGCTATACAAAACTCAGAGGAAGAGATAATACCCTATTCCTGTATTCAGGCTTTTGAGTGATTATAACACTGAAGCATTCTTGTAGGGCTCTAACCTGGTCAAATACAATAATTCTCTTTTGCCTGATGGACATATCTGGATGCTCAAGAAGATGACTGAGCACCATGACACGAGGAGAGCTAGCCACATATGGAATATATGAAGTGTCAGCAATCACACACTTGACGAGTGCAATAAAAGACACATTTCCAAGAAAGGCAAGTTGGTGAGAAGACCAACATAAATGCAATCATTTACACCAAGTTTTCTGCTTGAACAAAGCACCCATTCACCAAAAGGCAAAACTTGGCTTTCCCCAATTCCTTCTATTATTCTAACATTAATTTTCCCCAATTAATTTATCCCACCTAAGGGCTCCATCTCGTTATGTCCCATTGAATACATAAAATCATACATTTGTAACTGAGAAAAACTATGTTTCAAAAAGTAGATAAATTCCCTTCCCATTTTTACACTACATATTCAGTTAACTTAACAAAAGTTTTTTAAAAAATTCTTACTTCCAACATCAACATAAATTCCACATATGAGCCATGACTTCACTCCTTGTTGGAAATTGCATTGAAATGTCTGTCTCCCCAAAGTATTCAGCAGAATCTGTGTCCTGATTGAAGAGTTTGAAGAGCTGCTGCTACTGATTATTGAGTGGTTTTGTAAAAGGACTATATTATAATGCAAACCATAGAAGCTCCTGTTTAGCCAGCAGGACAGATTCACAGATGATTTTGATGACTGCTCTCGGCCACTTGCACGCATGCCTCCCCTGTAAGGCACAAAACAAATCAACAAAGTTATTACAGGGTGCAAAGTTGCTGTATCCTGTATTAACTTCTTGCAATAGAAATAAACTGGCTTTGGAGACTACATGTTTTACCCTGTGCCAGTAAAAATGCTTGTATAAACTCCCCCTACATGGTAAAACAAGCAGCTCTCACCAAGGATGTCCACAGGAGTAAAAAAAAAATCATGATGGTGGCTGCAACTCCATAGTGAGCCATCTTGACTTTGTTAACACCCCACCACTCCCATATATAGCCTTGGCTCCTATACTCACTCACCTTCTCTCTTATTCCAAACTCCTTGATCTTGGAAGCTATATCCAAAACATAACATTAGTACAATATTGCTTTATAGTCTTTTCCAGCTGGTGTCCTCCGAAAATGTTGGATTCAAGCTCTTTTTAAGGGCGGGACCAAGAGGGCAACTATTCTGGGGCCCCCAGATGCACAGCCCCTCTTATGAAGTATGGTTCAGAATTTGAAACTTCCCATAGATACTTTAGGTCCCCCCTTCTGTTTTCTGGGTTACCAACTGGGAGAATATATATTGGTATCAGATGCAGGTAAAAGGAAGCACACAGAGGTGAGGTGAAATTAACATTCTGCTCTGGGTCTCTCTGAATCATTAAAAGGGCCTTGCTGGGCTTCAGTGCCCATTGTGCTGAACTAGCTATGGTGCCTGGGGATTATTGGAGTGAAATCTAAGACATAGAGAGCCCCAGATTGAAGAAAGCTGCTCCAAAGTCTAAGCCTGCTCTTTTTTATCCTTCCACAAAACCAAGTACCTATTTCCTATCTACTTTTGTCTCAGCTTGTTAGCCATCATAATACTGTTGGGCAAAACAAGGTATCTCCTGCCATTGCCCTGCCTTAAAGTTGCCTCCTAGCCAATGCCCTCCCGTGTCATATAAGATTTCCTGCGTGCAGTGAAGGAAGATAAAATAGTGGTTTCACTTGCCCCTGGGCTTCCCTTGTAAGTGAGCTGCAATTCCTGGGTGTTCTGTTCTACAGTTAGTGAAGGGAAATCACATGTGCTCTGTATTCGTTCTGAAATGGTTATACCGTACAGGTGAATAACTGACCCCATGAGAAAGTTGGCTGTGGGCACCAAGAGAGAAAGATGGAGATGCAGAGGAAGAACGTGCTCTGTGAAACTCTAATCCTGTCCCCTCCGCCCATTCGTATCTCTGCCTCCTCCCACTTTTGATTTAGAGATAGATTTGGAGTAGACAGATAATCATATACATAATTTTTAGGAAAGGATTTTCATGTGAGGCCTTTAACTTGAATTTGGACTTTCCTCATTGAAAATCCCACTGTTGTATGTTGAATACCCAAAAGAGCAGAACGTGTCGAATCCCTCCTTTAGAGCATTTGCCCCAACACCGGAGCTCTGCCGGAAAGGAAACATGGGAAGCCATAGGATACGTGTTTGTAGGGCCCCAACCAGATTCTTTCATAGAAGCAACCAGAGCAGAAATCCTTGGAATGGAACAATGTTTCAGCTCTGAAAAAATGCAAGAAGCCTATTTCTGTAATAGCCCTTTGTCAACAAAGATCGCCTGACTCTGCCTCAATGGATGTCAGAACAATAACAAAAGGAATTCTGCAGGGCGGCTGTAAATAATTTTAGTTAATAATTTGAGCCACCTTGAATGCCCTAGGGGCAGAAGGATAGGTTGCTGCTGCTGCTGCTGTTACATTATATTTTCTTTTTAAGAAAAAAAATGCTACTCAACCTTTGATTCTTGCATTCCTCTGATACCAAAACCTTTACTCCTAGAATAAAAAAACAAAGATGTTTTGTAATAAACAATTCAAAACCTAAGCAATTATAAAACGAAGGAAGTGTTGTTTTTAAAGATTTCGTTGCAGGAGGAAGTTATGGCAAGTGCTGACTTGTTTGGCAGCTTTGGCTCCAGCAGATGCTAAAGCTGAAAATTTTGCAAATTGAGTACACTGACAGCTCCCGTGGTCAAGAAATGAGGGTCCAGGTCCTCTTCATACAAAGATAGCTCTTTCTCCAGATTTGCTGTTCAGAATCTCTGGTTCTCTTTCCAAATACTGATTCTGTAGCACTACTGCTGATTGTACATTGTCTACATCAAACATACATCAGCCATTATTTGTATTCCCAAATTCTAATCCCAGACATCTTTTACTTAAAGTAAAGAGGTAATGGTCAGTACATCTATAGTTTGGATGGAGCCATCTGTTCATATGTCACCCTACCCACTTGGCAGAAGACTTGTGATGTTTTGTGATAGGATATGAAGATTTTTCCTCCTGTGACTCTTCTAGATGATTGGCCTTACTAAGAATTCTTTTTTTTTTTTTGATCCATTCAATTGTGTCCGATTCTTGGAGACTGCCTGGAAAAGTCTCTGCAGTTTTCTTGGGAAGGTTTTTTTTCAGAAATGGTTTGCCATTGCCTCTTTCTTAGGGCTGAGAGAGAATGATTGGCCCAAGGTCACCCAGCTGGCTTTGTGCCTAGGCAGGATTAAGGCTCACAGTCTCCTGGTTTCTAGCCTGGTGCCTTAACCACTACACCAAACTGGCTCTCCAAGTTACTGAGGATACATAGGCTAAAAATTCCAGCATTTCCAGAACCTACTTACCTATTCCCAAGAACACTAAAAACCAAACTGTTAAAGGCAAGCTTCCTGTGAAGATCATCTTGATATATTGTTGAATTTTTGCTCCTGTTTTTTTTAAAAAAACCAATAATCAGTATATATAGTCAGCAAATAATCTTTTGGGGAGGAAGGCACCTCAGTCTTTTTGGCACAAAAGCTTGATTTCACCAGAAACAATCATATAGGAATGATGAAACACAGATCTTGTTCTAGAAGCAGATGCTCGTGCAGAGAAACCAAGTGGTTTGGATCTAGGGTTTTTTTTTCTTTTCTTTCAGAGTCTTGCCTTTCCCAAGCTGTATTTTCTTTGCTGTTTTTCCCCCCCTGGTTCATGAGCAATACTTTATGAATTATGTGACTCGTCATGAACTGTATTTCCTTGGTTTCTTTTTTGAATGATGAGCAATATTTCCCAAGTTTTGTTTCTGGGTGCATGAGTTACTGAAACAAAACAGAGACAAGAATTAGATGAAAAGATTATCAGGTATATCATTCTTATTTGGAAGGAATATGATGGAAGGAATAGGAAGGATGCAGTCTCAAGAACAGAAGGTTGAGCAGGTAGCATTCTTCAAATAGGCTCTCACACAGAAGAAGACTCCGAGTCTGTCCTCTAACACTTGTAATTCTTGGATAACTATTTCAATGAAAAAATGTTATATTTATGGATGCCAAATTGTGAAAATATATTAGAACACAAATGGTGCAACTCAAGGGTTTCTTCTTCTTCTTCTTCTTCTTCTCTTTCTATGTCTTATCCTGAGTGTTTCCAAGTAGCTGACTTTGGGTGTCAATTCCTGAGGTGTTTAACTGGTGTTTCACAGTAGTTGTAACAAGATGGGAAAAGAGTTGCCTCTAATATCCAACCCTGTGATCAAACTCTAGAGCAAAGGGAGGCAACCAATGGCTCCAAGGCCACAAGTAGTCCCTAAAATCCTTTTTTTCCCGCTCCCATAACAGCACAATTTGAAAATTGTGTAGTTTCCTGCCAGTTTGAGGCAGGAAATGTACGAAATAACCTATATATACAAAAACTCGACTGAGTTACAAAATCTCAGTCCCACACGGATGTGATATGAGCCCTAATCATTTTTAAAATCACTGCCCTGCTTACCAAAGCCTGTGACCCCACCACAAGAAACTAATTGCTTACTTCTGCCTAGGATCTCATTATTTTCCTTCATTACAATACTAATTGTAGTATTAAGGCTTAAATGGTTGTTTTGTGGACATAGTCTATAAATCAGAGGTTGGAATACCTCAGGTTTGTGAATATCTATTTTTTAATTATGAATATGAGGTTCATCTTCAGGAGTTGGGATCCTGAGAGTGGGAAGCAGAACCAGGTCATAATCTGGTGGCTTGGCTTGGGAACAGCCAACTATCTCCTGTAGCTTCTTAGCCATAAACAGCTTAGTTTACTCGTATAAACCAGTCATAGATGTCTGTGGGGGCGTGGGAGTGGGCAAGGACTTGCATTCAATGCCAGGACACAAATATGAAAAACTTGTGTTTGCAGAGTAACATCTCACACACATTTGTCATTTTTTCACCATCATGTTTGCACAGAGCGTCTATGAAACCAGTGGCTCAGTTCACACATCTTACCACACTATAAGCCGTGCATTACAAAATGCAAAGGATAGATTGACTCCATACAATAAGCCACAAACAGACCCTATTTTGCTCTATTGTTTCTGAACCCAACCTACATCTTACTCTAGATCAGAAATTCTGCTTCGAAACAGGTCAACATGGAGAGCTCAACAGTGATAGAGTCATTCGAATTTTACAGGGAAGAAACTGTGAGGTTGAAGTGCAAAGTTAGCTATGATAGACAGAAGTTGTTTATTTTTGTGAAAGTATTTGGAACTGGAAACCCAGGTTCATCCCCTGGAAATCACCTAGCAATTTGTTGGTAAGTCCCAAATCTGCCTCCTTCTACCAGCCTTTGTTGTAGACATAGTAGTACTTTGTGGGAGTTATGCAGATGGAAACCATCATCACAATTCAAATGTTGCTTTAATTCAGTGAAAATGCTTCTTAGAAGTTGAAGGACTCCTAAACATTTGTTCATGCTCACCTTAAATATGTGGTAAAATAATTTCAATTATGAATTACTTTTCTTTCTGCTGTTGCCATTCAAAAACAGAAAGTCATCTGCACAGTAGCCATTTCTGGCCACTGAAACCTTAGATAGAACATTATAATCACAAGTTCTTGGATAAGATACTCTTAAGGGCTGATGGATGATTGCCTTCAAAGACTTTATTATTTTAGGAAAATTGCAAAGGAATTATTGTGCATGAACTATAAATAAATTAGTCAATATGTAAAACAGCCCAGCACAACATTAAAATAATACATGATAGATATCAATCTTGTGTTCATTGCCTTTAAGTGGCAAAGTATGTTATCTATGAAACTATTTCTCTTGCCATCTTTTGGAAGCAGTAAATGAATATTTGGTTTCCTCAGATCATTTGTCAGGTATGACAAAACAGAATACCATAAAATTGTCTTATTTCAGTTTCTTTATCTGTCAAAGACACAAACTGGATGAGTCTGGGACATTTACAAGAAAACCAGTCCCTTTACAAAAATTATTTTCCATGTAGTATTGCTGTTAATAGAGAGGAATTAAAAACACCTACCTATGGCAGTGTGCAGCTGTACACACACCAGTGTAATGTCAGGGGATTTCTAGAATGCTTATAGGTCAGAGCAACCTTAACATGCTGTAATATGTTCCTTAATGTGAATGCAAAGCACTCAACATCCCATCTACCATAGTGTCTGAAGCTCTGTGCTTGGCTGAATCTGGGAAAGCAGGAATTCCAATTGTGGAGATATATAAAGAAAATTTTATAAAGTTACCATGGTGGCTTTAGGAGTGGCAAATGGGAAATGCCCAGGGCCCTGTATTTGAGGGGCCAGTTTTAGCATAATGTTAGTAAATAAAAATAAAACCTATCTAAAGGTAGGAGGAAATCTTCAAGTATAATGAAGAAAAGAATGTTAACTTGGTTTTGTTTGCTTTTGTTTATGAATTATAATAACTACACTTACACAACCCTGTCTTGGGTTGAACAATCTTACAGTATTCTAAAATCAGATGTATCCGTTGATAGGTTATAAAAAATATTCTTCCATGGGGGCCTCCAATGATACGCTCCTCCAGGGCCCTCAAAACTCTTGCTAAGTGCTATGCTATCCTATGCTATGTTAACTTATGCTATAAACTTTCTCTTTCTACAACATCTAAAATAAGATGTACAGTACATATTTGCTTCCATGGAAAGACGTAGATACTTCATAAATGAGATTGTGAAAGGAAGAATTCAACATGAGCACTAATAACTTTATTACTTCCACAAATATTGATTTCACTAATGGAAGCAATAAACCAAAGAGGTGTGTATATATAGCATCATTTATGAACAGTGGAATCAGTTGCCCAGAGAGATGGTAGTCAACTCACTTTCATTGGATCTATTCAAGCAGAGGGTGGAGAACCATCTCTTTGGGATGTTTTAATTTGAATTTCTGCACCATGCAGATAATTGTAAGTGGCCCAAATGGCCCTTCCAACCCTATGATTCTATGATAAGCAGGAAAACAGTAGTAAAAAAGAAAATGGGGGGAGGTATTTAGGATTGCTTCCACAGCAACAAAAGTATCATTCCAACCCTCTTTGTGCAACTGCTGGAAGATCAGCTGGCACAAACCAGTCAAATCCAGCTGGAGTGGCTTGTGAAAGAGTCATAGCATCTATGAATCTTATTAAAGACTTTATTAAAACAAACTGAGTAAATGTCTTGCGGAATAGCTTATGTAAGAAAAATAAAGTACTGGTTTGGACAATTGTGCAAGGGTAAAAATGGCATTTCTTTCTATAAGGGTAGCAGAATGACATCGGTGAAGGCACTGACTATGGATGAAAGAGCATTACAGGGCAAAAACATTAAAAATATTTCGAAGCTACTGGAAAATTTTCATTTCCAAGATCACTGCAAAGAACTCAGTTTTTGTTTTTCTGGGGGCAGTCTGAAATCTATTATCCAGAGTTTCTGCGTCAGAATCCAGTTCATATTCACTTGTAATAATAAAAAAGCAAGAAGCAGCAATATGAAGCAAAAAGAAAGAGAATTAGGAAATAGAACCTTCCGTCAAATGCATTCAATTCTTTTGTTCCTTAATTGTCACTTAAGATTTTGAACCTAAGTTCTCCATAGGGATCGGTATATATTTAGTATGAACATTACTTTTAAATAGCAATAATTCTGAAAGGATCAATTCTCTTTGGCAATCTTCCAAATACACTCATTTCAGACAACATCTTTCATACACATTCCCTAATTTATTTGTAGGGTTTTAAGGACTTAGCCCCCCTTGAAAGCTCTCTTTCCTGTTAATCTCATCTTCTGCTTCATTGCATGGTGTTGGCGATACTGATTTGCTTCTACATGTAGCCCATGCATCTTTTTTTTCCTTCACCCACCCATACTTATATTTTCTGCCATAATGCATGGGCCTAAAACAATTTCTCCAAACTCTTGGCACAGATAAGTTTGATCTGTATCTATGCAATCGTTATTCAGTTCCATGGAATCCAGACTTTGTTCAAGGTTCAGATTTCACTATGAAAATATACTACTTTCTGTAGAATTCAACTGGCATGTTTTTCACACATAATTTTTCAGTTTGTTTCCAGCTAAAAACATTCATTGTAATCTTAAATGGTGAGTGAAATGTGTGGGAAAGATACCACTTCAGATGATGTCTGTGCTATAGTGGTGAGATACAAGAGTTGGAAAGGACCTTGAGGACCATCAAGTCCAACCCCTTGCTCAATGCAGAGTCCACTAGAGCAACCTAACAGATAACGATCCAGCCTTGGTTTGAAGATCTCCAATGAAGGAGAACTGACCATATCATGTAGCAGCCTGTTCCACTGGCTCATACAGTCAGGAAATTCCTCCTGATGTTTATTCTA